TCTTTTCTTCTTCTTAGAGCAGCACTTTTAACTCCGAAAATTCTGCGCTCTTCGTAGCCGCGATAAATAACTCATAAGCCGAGTATCTAATTTCCTTTGAACGCGCGACGTATAATTTCGTAATTTCGCGTGGGCAAACTTCGAAGCGTCCGCCGTCGTCTCTCTTTCCTCAAAGCGTTGCACGGGAAATTCTAAAGTGGTCTTCATCTCCCGTGGAACATTTTCCCGAGAGACGAGGAAAGAGGGGAAGAAAAAAAGAAAGAGAGACGCGTGTAAAGACGCCGCGCAGGCAGTAAGTCAGTTGCATGAAAAGCGGCTCGTAAAAGTGGCCGGAGATAAATGGGCAGAAATCTTACGCAACGTTCCGCCGTGCTCAGCGGAACACAACGAGATGACGATACGCCATTTGCATCCTAGCCACTCTCAAGGATCCGCGAACATGGCCGAAAGGACGTGTTCTCTGGTTGCAGTCTCCGGCTGCTCGAGCGGAAAAACCTCGCGATCATTAGCCACGCTGATCTCTTCTCTTTTTTTCACCCTGTAATCATGCCACGATATTGATTTTTGATATCGTATGCAAAGATCAAACGTGGCTCGCTAACAAACGTTCCTCGTTCGAGCGTTGATTCGTCCAAGAGATAATTGGCGATGAATTAGAACACGAGGTTCTTGAAAAATCTTACAGGTAGCTTCCTGGTAAGTTTTTTTCTGTTTTTGGAATAATGGAATACGCAAATTAGAGAATTCTTTTACCGAGTCTAGCTTATCTTTCGGTTTCGTTTGAAGCGGTTGGTTAGATGATGCGTCGAGAGAGGTTACGCAAGAATTGAGTAATGTCGATTTTCTGGAGACACATTAAAGTTGAATCAACGGAAAGAGAAAGTATGCGATATTAAACTTGCAGGCAATTTCACGGGAAAAGCGGCGAAATTACTTTTCAATAGGCGACTTCTAACTGTAGTTAGGTCGAATTAGATGGTAAAAGGGATTTAATACGGGGAGAGAAACGTTGGGTAATAGTCGCGGATGCTGAGTTGTGAAAAGTGAAGAAAAGAAATTTTTTTTAATTCGCAAAACTATAGTAAGTCGAACGTAGCAGACAGCACGAAGACAGAAAAAATGTAGAAAATCATTCACAGAACCAAAACGCGATAATTGATGAATCATAAACTGGTAAAACACGGTAAATCAAAAAATACCAGTTTTTACTTTGTAATCAGAAAAACGTATAACGCATACCGAATGATAACGCAAGAAACAAGAGATTTTCGTTACTAAATTAAGAGATTTATTCAGGAACTATGTCATGTAAAATACGTTATGGTTCGCAACTCTAAATTCACTTTCTGAAGATAAAAAAACCATACATATTGACGTGGTATATGCTTCCACCAGTGAACCAGTGAGTTTTCCACGAAATATAAATTCTTTCAACGTAACAGCCACATTTGATTTATCGCATCGAGCGGGAATATCGGTATCACAAACGCTCGGTTTTACGATGCACACGTGAGACAGACAGCCGTACAACCCCGTTCTGGTTAGTATGCCAATCGTAAACGCTGAGTTTGTGAGTTTCGTCGTGGAGCAATCTTGACATAAATTTCCTCGACGGTCGCTGCAGTGTCACGCGGCTGATTGGTCTAATTATCTTTCGAAAGTTGACCTTCCAGGTTTCAGTCGATAAAGAAACACAATCGGTATTTTTCTACCGTTAATTTGATCAATGAAAATTCAATTCTATCTTGTCGATAAGAGAAAACGGCGGTTAACCTCTTGCAAACCGATCACTTTTCCATCTAAACGGTCGATACAACGTGGAAACAAATTACGTTCTAATGTCTATCAACGCTCGCCGAGCAAGTAGATCCACAAAGGTGTGGTTTCGTCCAGTTTTCGAATGAGCGAACGTTGCGTGACCACTTCGCTGATTAATGGTTCTCTTGTACAAGTGTACCTGTACCACATGTGTGTTGTTATCCGGTAAAAGTACGGTGACCGAATCAATTATCGATTGGGCGAAAGGGATAATTCAGAGCTGTCGTGTGTGAGGCTGTTTAAAGGGCTTGGTTTATGTTCAGATTTTTGCACTGATACGTGGCTGGATGCTGAGTGTGATTGACGGGTGAGATTTGGGTCGAGTATCGAATATTAGGAAAGAAGAGTCCAGGGGAAAAGTAATTATAGTTAGAAGTGGAATTTTCAGAATTTGAAGTTTCACAAGCTTTATGGTCGTGAAGTATACACGATAGCAAATTGAATATTCTTCTGAAATTTTTTGAGAAACGAAAATAGTCACGATAATTAAATTTTCAGTATTTGAAGTTCCACAGGCTTTGTGAACTACACACGATAGAAAATTGAATATTCTTTTGAAGTTTTTTGAGAAACGAAAATTAAATTTTTCAGTATTTGAAAAACAAACTTCTGCATATTTTCTTAAACGTGTTAATATTGCTGCTTAATGCGTGAATTTACGACTTATCTGTATCACTTACACCGACTATGCGTTAATCAAGCAGGAACGAGCGATATCTGCGAAAGCGGGATGCACACCGGGAGATTTAATTAACGCGTATTATCGTAAACTTGTGCAGTTTCCAGTCACTCGCTAATTCATCTCCTTTACTTTTATAATTAACCTGTTAATTGGAGAAGACGAGTTAACCTGTTATTGGTTCTATTTATATTCAGGTTTATATTCATTTTTAATTGTACTATTATGTCATATTCATATTTGCAACAATTAGAGTGAAGCAATTGGTTGTAATTTTTACTCATTTTTAATTGTGTATATGCCTGAGAACCGGAGTGCCTCAAGTCCCCTATTGTAATTTTACAAGAGAATAAGAAGCAGTTGAAAATAGTTTATTAATTAACTGTTATGTCATATACTCATTTGCAGCTAAAGTGAAATAATTGGTTCTAATTTTTACTCATTTTTAAATTTTTACCTGAAAGCCAGAGTCATCCAAGTCCTTTATTGTATAATTGTACAGTAAAACAAAAAGATATAAGGAATCACACGTAAGAACAGCATTGTACTTGAAGTAATTACAATAATTAAATCTTTTTTATTTATTGTACACCTTAAATAGCTCCCTATGGCTCGAATAAGATAAAAAAGAAATTATTGAAAAAAAGTGAAGTTGGGTTAGTCTAACTCCGAGTAACAAACTTATAAATTAAAGAGATTCAATTTTTATTGGAAATATGAACCGAGTTAACACGTTAACACCAGCATACTCCTAAATTTTATTAGCAATAATTCCTCCCATTTATTTCTTTGATCACTGCCAGCCCTGGAAAAGGCATGTACAGTCGGAGGAAGAAAAGTGTAACTAAAACGTTAATCCGGCTTCCTACAGGGGACAAAGAACGAACCAGATTCCATTCACATGGTCCAAAGAATAAACGCGAGATCTTTTTTCACATTCAAAAAACATTGCATAATTTAGCCCGCGATTTTTAACACAAAGTCCCCGCGAATAAGTCTGTCTCCAGGTAGACACTGGAATTGTGTCGTTTCGTCCAGGGATTACGCAAGGTAAAATATGCACCGGATTTGGAGGAAATTTTTCATGCAGATCGCGGCTGAATCGTGAACTGTGCACGGAATAAGCGTCTGGATATAGGAACTCGCGATCTTTGCACGCATGTGAAAAGTGCCATTTTTACGACAAAATGCCTCTCTCCTCGAGATCTTTCTCTTGTGAAAAGCACACTTACGCTCTTTTCTTGGATTTTAATAAGCTTCTCTTCCGTGTCGACAAATTCTCACGTAACTCTTCTTCGTATACTTTATGCACGTCGTTCTTTGCTCCTTTGTGTCGCGATATTTTCCACGAAAGGATTAAAAATTTCAGCCTTTCACGTTATTACTCTTCAAGTTTCCAGGTGTAAATCGTTTCCTCGTGGAAAAAGTACTTCCACGTTTCGCAAATATCGCAGCTCACTTCGTCAGAATTCGAATAACACACCGATAGTGTTATCAGCTAATAGCCATTATCAGCGTGTTATTCCAATCCTGACGAAGTGAGCTAAAATACTTGCAAAACGTGGAAATACTTTTTCCACAAAGATACACCCGGAAGCTCGAACAGTAATAACTACAAAAGAATCGCTATACCTCGCGAGGTCCTGTATCTATCATCCGTGTTACGTCTCGCTCGACGACATATGTAGTTTCATTCATTATTGAAATACAGCTATTGACTGGAGGCATAACAAGGTCCCAGTGTGCAGAGCTAATGGCATTTCCTACTTCCCGTAATAATACCGCGAAATAACATCTACATACGTGCAATGTATATTCTGGTTTATCGTGACACTTGCTATAATAACTCAGATGTAATTCGAAGTATTTTGAAAAGCACGATCGTTTATAAAATCGTGGCAAATCCTGGTTGAATAGAGATACTCGAGATACTAGAGATAATCCAATTTTCTGTTGGATAAAAATTATTGGAGTATTTTTATCCAAGTTTTCTTTTTCTTCGAGTGAATAAGAGATTATTTCCATTCGAACAGAGTCGATACAGAATGGTATTAGCAGTTAGCACGCAATCAGAATCCTATTACTCCGAGATAAATTGGGATGGCGAAGTGTGTGCTCGCTGATTCGATATTAATTACCGTTGAATTCTGTAGAACAGTGTTCGATACAACTGTTCTTTATTCACTTGCATATTTTTCATCAGACTGATTCGTCGTTTCAACGTGCTTCGACTTTATCATCGAATAAAAGTTCACCGTATACAAAAATATATAAATCACAGTTTGAACAATTTCTAGAATGAAACAAAATTAACGCGCACGTCTCACTCGGACAAAAATGAATCTCAATTTAGACGGGAAAAAATTCTGAGAGACAGGCAAAGAGGTACATAATTCGATTGTTGAGCGAAACACGGTTAAATGTAAATTAGATGGGAAATTACTTGAATGAGAAGTGCTAGGGATGTCAGGCAAATTGGCTAATTTAATTTGTCGAATTGCAGAGAAGGGGGACGACACGAGGCCAACAATTCGGCGCAGTCCACGCAGGACCACAGGAAGCTCTTGAAACGAACGAGGAGCCTCGCGGTGATATCTGAGGACGAATCTCGACACGATCGAGAGGCGCATCACTTCAGGCTAGGGCAATCAACCTTCGATTTGCCGAGGAGGCATCAATTGATCCCGCGGGCCAAGCTGATCGATCGAAACTCTTTGAAGGACAGGTAAAACTCGAGATACTATTTTCGATTACGACGATGAGCTCATTCAAAGAGTTGCGTTAGTTTGTCAATCGAGAAGAGATACACGCGTATCCTTCAGATTGTATCGTTTCTAACACGCCAAGGTTTACTAAATAACTCCTACGAGGAAATAGCTGAACGAACACATTTTCACTACCATTCAAACGAAACTTCCTTTTACGCGTTTCAATCTCGAGTTATAAATGTCATTGCAGAAACTCGAGCGAAATTCTTCTCGAGTGAAAATTACGAAAATTCTTGGAATATGTTTGAGTGTACTTTTAAACGAGCTTACTTTTCCCTCTCCTCTGCCTACCTTTCACGTGCAAATTTTTCTGCAATTAAAGATCCAAGGAAAAAGTTGTAAATCGTCTATGATCCTGGATATTCCGTATCAGCAAGTCGAAGATCCAGGTCTCCGTGGAAATTGCGTTCGAAAAATCCGCGGGATAAAACTTCCACGCCCGGTTCTTTGTTAGCTGACGACGAATAAATGGGAAAGTTTACGTTGCTTTTAAGGAAACAGTTGTTGCGCGGAATAAGTAATTAGGATTCCGGGGCACGACATGATTAAAAAAAAGAAGTTACGAGGCACGTGGAACTCGCCGAGGCGAAATTTCTACTTTGCAGACTGCGAATTTGTTAGGTACGATAATTTTCCACGCAGTTCTGTAATTCTTCGGTGAGGTAAAGAAAAAAAATAATCAACAGCGCAACAGTTGCGCGTAACAGCTTGGAAGATCCGCGGTGATTTTAACAGAACCGAACGAGGGGAATATCTTTCATTAACGAACGTTAATTACCATATAGAACGCGTTAAGCATAACGAGGCCCGTTCGAGAACTCTTTTAATTGCACGTAATAGCTCTCCCTGTGTTCGCGCGGTTTCCGTATAATAACAGGAGATTCTTTTGCGCGTTCTTGACAGGAGAACAATACGCTTCTCGATAATTGCGATCCCAATCAGACGCGTGGCCACGTTTAATCGAAATACCCGGACAAATATGAGAATTCTGTAGCGGCAGATAGGTAATTATGAACGCGGTAAATTTGATTTGCTCGGTTCAACTTCGACAATGTTGAACGTAACTCGAGATATATATAGAGAGAGAGCTGTGCTTGAAGGGAACACGGACGAATCGATTAAAACAACCGAGTACCGAGCCAATTAACAACCATTTCGAACATTTTCAAAATGCTGGGAGAAACCTGCTGGTAGATCTGTGAGATTTCTCGGGTAAAACACGGTGGAGCTGTATTTGAGAAACTTTCTTGTGGCTATTAACACAAATTCTTCAGATATGTTTCTAATAAAATTAATAAGATATTATTATGAAAATATTGTTAATTTTAGGTAACGTAGATTTATTGCAGATTTTAGTCTTGCTTTTGATTAGGTATCGAGCGTAGTTTTATAAGTTTTTTAAGTTAATAGGCTTAGAAATAACAACCGTTTCTATATTGCTGCACACAGGACTATTAGATTGTGTAAACTCTAAATATTGATTTTTCCATGGATCTTTGCACAACATAATTGCACCTTCAATGATATTATAAAATACTGTAATTCAGTGCTTGCCCTCTCCGTTCGTATCATGTATTAAATACCAAAGTCAAAATTGTTTCAAAAATATAAAAAGAAGATCAGAAAATATTATCATCCCTTACAGACATCTTAAAATCGTCTTAACCCTTCGTCGAGATACTGATTACATATACAACACACAACTAGGTCAATACTTAAATTATTCTCTCAAATGAAATCATATCGAAATTATATTTTCCTCAACTTTATTTTCGTTGCTAAAGAATACGTGTTCACAATTTCATTTGAACGCACACATAACTCCATCACCCCCGAAGGATACAATCCGAAATCCATAGATTCTCCTCGTTTAACGCATAAAAATTTCACCGACTCCATCTTATTCCATATTCCAGTTTGGTTTCCGCGAGGCGAAAACGTACGGTAGAATCCATAAATCCTGAGACACTCGGCGCTCTCGCGAGCGCAAGAATAATATCCCAATCCGCATAGGCGTACAGCCTGTATAATACACGCGTTCATTTCCATTCTACGGGCCGGCCATACATTTCCGCCGATATTTCAGGCTGTCCAAAAGTCAACAGCACCTATCGGACTCGTACGAGAGATTCAACGAAGCGAAATCCTACCATTCGCGATCTGCTTGCGGGCTACACTCGATCCCGCCGGGACTACCTTCGTTCCCAGAACCTCTGTCCTACACTCGGGGCAATCGGACCGATCCGGACCGATTGAACATCCTCGACTGGCCTGAATCGCCCAGACGTTATCGCAGCGTACAGGCTTTGGACACTGTTAGCGGTTTAGTGGACATCGTGGAAGACAGCTGGCCCATCGAAGGAAATCGCAGCATTGATTGCATTTACACTCAGGTAAATCTTCCACCTGGATTATTAGGACGCTCTTGTAGCACCATTTTCCTCGTGTTACGTAGCTGCATTTTGCTTCTTTTTTTAATTCAAACACAAATTGTGTATTTATACATTTTTTAACCCTTTGACTGCTGGACAGTTGAAACGAGTTGTTGCATTGACCCTTTGCGCTCCTTTGTCGAGTGTGACTTAACCCTTCCGACCAGACGACGTTTGCAGTAGTTCGCTTCCTGCGGCCGGCGTGAAATTTAATAGTCCGTTCACGACGGCCAACTTGAAATTCAGTCCTAAACATATTTGAGTCTTTGACAATATTGCGATTTTACTGTACCATATTCAGTATTGTACTGAATAATTAAGAAAGGAAAGCGGTGACACATTCTCAGAGTCGGTACGCGGAAGGGGTAATTTTATTCACAGGTACTCCTATGTTGAGTCACACTCGACATTTTTAAATTGCCGCTTTAAATATGTATTATATTTCGCAATATTTTTTTATACTTAGATAAGCAACAGTATATGACCCTCTTTTGTAAAAAAAGAAAGTGCAATTGAAAGTGAAAGTGCAAGTGTCATATATATGTAACGAGGCAATTGTTTACATTGCTTTTTATATAAAACACTTAAAATAACGTGGAGTTGTTGGAAAGAAGATGTGAAAATAATTCAAAGTGCAAAGGGTTAATAGTGAAATTTTGAGGGAGGTTGGAAGGTATTTAGGTAAAACAAAATTATATTATTTGCTGTTTAAAATGACGTATAATTTGACGAGCAGAATATTTCTTGCACAGAACTATACAGGCCAGAAATTAGGAATATGTATTACTTGTTTACCGATATTTTTTCATTCTTTCTTCGAGGAGTGATTTTATTAATTTTGGTAGGGAAATAGTACGAGCCAAAGGGTTGATCTATCGAGTGACATATTTAGCTGTATTTTGTGAGAGGAGATTGCAAACTATTGTTCTCTATCTGACTGATTACACGCTGAGTGGAAACTGTACGTGTAAGAGCTCTTCCTAACACGTTTTGAGCGAGAAAGGTACTATGTAGCACATGTTTACGTGACTGGCGATCTCCAGCGAGGTGGCTATTAGTACCCTTTGCACGTACTCATCGTTAACCCTTTCGCTATGACAGTGGTTAGTTGAGTGAGGCGTGCACTATTTGCTCGTGCGAAACGCTTCTGGTACACTCAGAGTGGAGCTTCTGTGTATCAATAATTATCAATGAAATTAGAATTCAGCTGAATCAATTTAATTTGAAGAGTATATCGTGTTTCATGCTATTGTCTGTGATAGGTTAATCGTTAGAAATTAATATTGGTAACTCTAAATTCGTTTCTTTATCGTACTGTAAAACTTCAAATTAAAAAAAAAAATAATTTGAAAATTAATCGGTTAATAAGAATGTGACAGTAGCAATTTTGAATTCGACTGTTTACCATTCTGTAAAACTTCAAATTAAAAAAAAAATAATTTGAGGATTAACGCGTTAATAAGAAATCGATGATGGTAATTCTAAATTCGTTTCTTTATCATACTGTCAAACACCAAATTACAAAAAAAAAAGAAATAATAATTCAGGAATTAATGGGTTAATAAGAAATTGATAGCGTAATAGTAATTCTAAATTAAAAACTTCGAATTGAAAAAAAAAATAATTTGGAAATTAATGGGTCGATAAGAAATCGATAACAGTAATTCTAAATTCGTCTGTTTACCATGCTGCAAAACATCGAATTAAAAAGAAAAATAGTAACAATTTGAGAGTTAACAAGGAACTGACTTGAGATTATTAAAATAGAAATCCACCGTATCCTCCAGTAACTTTATCTGCCATTCCGTATCTGCAGGACACGAGAAACGATACACGAGATAACTCGTGGTCCATTTGTAGCATGTTCACGTCAGCCGGTAAATTGGCATCTTATCTCTCGTGACGTTTGTCGAGGATTTCCGTGTTTAGCTTCAATTGTGGAGGAGTATCGATTTGCCCAGGCGGACATTAAGTGACTTTATGGTTGTATAAAGAATGTTTTACAGTTCGAGGAATATCGAAGAAGTGATAGAGAGTAGCCTGTTTGTGTCCGTGGCAATCTTGTTTGAATAACAGATGCTTGTAGTGATAATTGTGTGAACAGATTGATAAAGTACACTCTGTACACTTTACGTAATATTATACGAGCAAACATGCGGTCGCATTTATGCCAGCGATAACTTGTCGCGAAAACCGTACGTTCTAAAATCACCGCAGAAAGTAGAACCTGCTTGTTGTTCATTAGCCATTCAGTTTTGGTGGAACTTTGTTCGAAAGTTCACCGGGTGACTAAAACCGACTTGAACGACCCATTTGAATCTCGATTAATCAACACTCGAAGAAATACTTCACGAATCCCAACGATCTAATTCGAACGATCGATCCTACAGGGTTAACCAGATCTCGTCTCTGTCGCGTGAATAAATTTTAATTAAATTATGCACACCTGTGGTGTTTCCAGAACACGTCTAGCACATCCAATGGCATTATTATCAGAAATTATGTGGTAAAAGCGAATTGGTAGTATATCAAATGTGAAACGTTCTCTGCCGACACTTCACCTAATTTCACTTCAAATCTAATTCATCTAGGCTAGAATATCTTCTTGCAAATGAACGAATTTCGAAAATGGACAAAATATTCTTAAAACTAATTGCTCTTAAAAATAATTACCAGATTAGTGTCTTACTTCTGCGAAACACGAGTTAGTTTCTTATCTGTGCACAGTGCTGATCTATCTTATCTTCAAATTGCAGCAAGAACAAGTGAAAATACCGATCCACATAAATTCTCGTAGAAAATGCACGACGATCATTTCTAATCCCAATTCGTTTTCTCTCTCAGGTGAAACGTAAACGGAAAGAGCACAGAAGCTTGGACAGTATCCTCTTCGAGGACGATGGCGAGCTCGAGTACTTCGACGTTCTGAACCTTCTGCCTTTGTCGAACGTGCGTCTGGAATTCGACGAGGAGGACGAGCGCAACAATAACTTCGCTAGGAGGAACGGCACGAATCCAAGGGCGGGAAAATTCAAATCTCTCGAGTACCTGGACTCGCGTGTCGCCGAGGAGAGATCGTCGACGAGGAGCAACGCTACCGACGAGGAAAAATGTAAAGAAAGTAGCACAAAGGAAGGGAACAGCCCGCAAGAGACTCGAGAAGAGGACTATCGCCAGAGAGATTGCGACTCTTTGCAGGAATCCAGAGAAGATTTATCACTGGAACGCGAGAACGAAGGATTGTATCACGTGGAGAACTACGACGACGACGAGGACGAAGACGAAGACGACGGAAGTTCGATAAATTGTCCACGGAGCGAGTCTATAGGCCGACAATCCGCCTGCTCGAAGACTGATGAAGACAAATACAGGCTTGATGAAGAGCTAGTGGTGTTACGTGGGGAACAAGTGGATCGTAAGGTCGAAGAGGCGGAAGATTACAAGTCTATTTGGATCTCGGACAGCGACGAACAAGAGGAGATGTCGCGGAGGCCACAGGTGCTCAAGGTCGTCGACAACGACGTGACCAAGAGGCGGTACAGGCATCTCTCCGTGGAAATTGACCCGATTACCAGGGATGAGAGCTTCCGGGACAATGAGAAAGGATCGAACGATGGTATAGACGCGGTGAAGTCGAACAGAAATAACGACAATGTGGATGGAAGTTCGAAGCACGCGGAGGTGGGTTCGAAGGGAGTAACTTTTTCAATTTCTTTTGTGTACCTCGAGAAAGCTAAACGATACACCGTGTAGATTTCGAAGGCCAATTGTAGACGTATCGTAGATTCGTCGAGTATTTATGCCACGTGTAAGTAGGTCGTTGTTAACCCTTTCGCGACCGAATTATTTGTTTTAAGAATTTACCGTTTGTATACCAAATTGAGATGCATTTTTGCAACTTTCGTTCGTGAACTCAGGTTACACGCGTTTCACTAGTCACCAAAGGGTTAAATTAATCGCATGAAAATTCTACTTTGGTTCATGGCCTCAAATACCTATTTAATCCTTCGCACGTACATAGGTGCTCAAAGGGTTATTAGTTTGCGGCGACCTACCTGTCGGAGCTTCTACAAGCTCGCCAGGCTATACCATAAATTATAGCCGATAAGTGTCAATCTATTACCCTTCTGCTAGAAAATCATCACCTAGCTGACCAATATTCCACGCCTTCGCGTCGAATCGACCGCCAATTTATCACTCTTCACGTCGCCACTTTCATCTTCTACGCCTGGGCGTAAAAAGAGAAATTCCATTTGTAACGGTGTGAGAGTTAAAATCCCGATCTACAAAGATACAATCTAACCGAGTAGAATTCCAATCGCGAACTACGAGATCGACGAAAGAACGTGTTCATTCACGAAGCGTCCAAGAGAAACTGTTTTCATTTCAATCTGTTTCTTCTTCGTGCAACTCTGTTAATTTCTATCGCAAACAGAGTAAAACTCTCACTATCTGTCTCTTTTTCAGAATCAAGACGAGCGAGAGGAGAGTACGAAAGGAGAGAACGCGAAGAACTTGCTCGAGCAGAAGAAGAACGTGCAGAAGGATAACTCAAAGGGCAAGCAGACGGAGGGGAGGTTCGAGAGGATCGTCAAAGAGACTTCGAATATCCTTGGAAAGGCGTGCAGCGTGGTAAAAGGAAGCTTAGGCTTCGAGGCTCGTTCGGAGAGCTCGGATCTCGGACTCGGTTCGGAATCGGGAAGCGACACCAGAAGAAGATCCGTCGACGACGGTATCGACGAGGATCACTCGTCTATCGGGAAAGATTCGCCGGCGAAAGGGAACGACGGTATAAAGATATACTCCAATCTTATTAGATCGAGAAGCTGCTTCGATTCGATCGAATGCCATCCGGACGATGGCCAGGAGTTCGATCACGTCCGTTACAAGATCGTCAAGTCGAACCTGTTTAGCAAGAACATATACAGCACACGCGGTGACGTCACGTACGAAGGATTGATGCAGTATCTGCGTGAGTACTCCTTTCAGGAGCTGCTGCTCGACAACAACGTCGTGATCATAGAGCCTGTACGGGCTGAAACGATCGAGCGTAAGCCATCGAGCGTGGGAAAAGCGAGATCCGAGCCAAGTTGCAAGATAGCCGGGGCGATACAGAAGAAAACAGACGGGGATAACAGGGAGAGAAATTGCGAGAGCGCAGACGGTGGTAACCCTAAAAGCCCGAAGCAGTCATCCATCAGGAAGCACTTCTTCTATCATCCTATTAGGGTGAACCGTGAGCTGATCGACGAGGAATTGCCTGACCCTGACACCGTCCGGAACGTCAGGCGTATGTTCGAGAACACGCTCAAGATGAAGAATAGCTCCAACTCCGAGCTGTCGGGAGACTCTAAGAGTAGGAAAAGTGTCAGCATGAAGGACCTGAGCACTATTGACGATAGTCATTTCGACGAGATATCGGAGACGGTGCACGAGGCTACCAGGTAAAATATCAATCTTTCGTTGGACGGTACAGTTTATACTTTAACTACTTGCCTCGTGGTTGTTGTAATTATCTATTGTCGATTGCTTCGATGTCGTGTGAGAGGAACATGTTAAAATACTATGGATATTAAAGGAATGTCGGATTCTTCAGTTTTTTGAACTCATGCAAACATTACCTTTGACCAAACATTACCAAAAATTGTGTCAACTGTAAGTTAACACGAAAAGATCGAGAACTTTTCAACACTCGACTAATTAATTTACAATAGATGTTAAAATTAATGTTCGTTACAAATACAATTTAATTGTTGCGAGTTTGATTCAATGTTGGAAGGCAAGGAGTTAAAGGAGGTTATGTTCTTCTGTGTACGAAAATTAATTGACTGCAACAATGAACCATTACTGTGACCATAATGGCTCCCCTAATATCCATAAACAGCAGTCTATCTTATTTCCACGTTTTAATTATTAACAATTATTCTAACCGTTTAAATCACTGTGCCAGATCCAGATGTTCCAGCAGAGCAAAGGACCTCACGAAACTGTTCGAGAACATGGAGAAGTCTACGTCCTCGAACGCGTCCATCGTGGGCTGCAAGGACGAGTTAGACAGTCCTCGTTCCGAGTCCAAAACGCGAATTCTAGCTCAAACTTTCGAGGCCAGGAGTGGTCACACGTCGCCCAGCGATTCCACATCCTCCAAGAACAAGATGAACCGCTACCACCACCATCACCATCACCATCACACCAACTGGGACGCGGGTAGCGTGAGTTCTGGTGTGTCTAGCGATTACCCTGACACTGATCCCGGCAGCGGAGTGCACTGCATCTCTTCAGAGGACGAGGAAGTCGACTGTCACGACGACGAGGGCAACGAGACAGTTGGCCCGAGCCATTACGTGTCTCAAGATGTCCTCAAGAAGATACGAGAATGCGGCACATCCGTCACTTACTACGGCGGCAAGGTGGTAAACTCCAGCAACGGGCCGCTCATCTCTCCGGTAGTCGAGAACAGGTTCAAGTGCGTAGACGGATCGAACGATTACGTGAAATTTCGTCTGATAAAGAGCAACTCCTGCGACAGTAGATTAGAGCTGACCGGTAGACTGGTAGAGAATCATCTGAGGCATCGAAATCGCGAGAAGGTGCCTGATCTGAGCCAGTACACCATAGCGGAGACGCCGAGTATCGAAATTACCACGCTCGACAAGCAGGAAGACGAGAATTCGACGATAGAAGAGGAGAATAACAGGACGACGGAATCGGAGGTGAAGAGGGAACCGCCAGTGGTGATCGGTTTAGAGCCAAAGAAGGACGAGAACAAGGAGGCGAAGGGATTCAAGGCTGATTTCAAGCTCGGTAACATGGAGGACGCGAAATCGAATTATCCCAGCCGATTCATCGGCAGCGCTCTGACCAGGTGGCAGGTGAACGAGAACAATTGGAGAGCCACTGATGATTTCGGCAAGATGGAATTCGAGGAGTTCGAGGTGCTCGAGGACAGTCTGAACGGCACGGAGAGCCATCGTTTGGAAACTTCGTGAGGGAGACGGTGTTCTGTTGTAATATATTCTGGTCCGTTCTGATACTACGGCGTGGAAGGAAGGTTGCCAAAGGAGAGTCGATACTTTCAGTAGTACGTGAACGGTAGCGATAGTTGCGTTAAAGTTTCTGGTATCCTCGAGAAACTCGTTCCTTGGACAAACGGTCCAATCGCGCGCGTCGGTTTTCTTCCATTTTTGGAACAACTTCCGATCGATTCGCTCGAGGATACCCGGTATTCATGGTCTCGTTTCTCCGAGAAGAAGGGGTGGAGAGAGAGAGAGAGAGAGAGAAAAAATGAGAAAGAATTGTACAGCTATTTGTTTCGAGGTTTCTTAGCAACGAGCAACTTGGAAATATTCGATTGAACGTATCGAAGCGTCGATCTTGAAGCATTATAACCACGTATTAGTCGGAGGATCTTCTAGGGGGAGAGTGTACATAACAAGGTTGAAGAATCTTCGACTCCAGTTTATCTGTTAAATTGCTACTCACGTCGTTTTAAACACTACGAAATAAATATCCGGTGAAAATATACCTCCTTGCGTCTAATCCTTAAGACCGCACTTTAATAACACGAAGTGCAGCTACTTAATTTTCATCCGCGAAACAATTCAATTTTCAAAGACCTGAATATTTTCTACCCGATGGCTTCTTTTTCTTTCCTTTCGATTCTCGTATTCTTAGCATTAACGACCGGCGTACACGTAAATATAGCGATCTATTTATACGAAATTACCGCGCGGAGACTGGCACAAAGTCTCGGTTATGCGATTCTCTGTAATTCCGAATGATTTACACCGACGATGTTATATTTACGAATTTACGTCGACACACCGGATGATTTAATACACGATCAATCTCTGCGTTCAGACACCGAAGAAAGATCAAAAGGAGCTAGAGAATTGAAAGTGCGAAAGCAGAAAATCTCTCTGACGTCGAATTTGCATCGCGCGTTTCTCACTCACCGGCATCTGCAGCGTTCTCAGGACCCAAAATCTTCACCTCTTTTTCATTCTTCAACGGTTTCCAGGACTTCTTGTCCTTCGTAGTCTTGTAATCCTCCATTCCCTTGGCTAGAATCGGGCCTAAACTCGGAGCGAAGCAGCTCGTCGTCGATGAGAGGTTCCTCTGAGAGTTGTGCCACCATCTTTTGCACCACGTCTCCTGGAACACGAGAAAAAAGACGCGGTTAATGCAATGCAGATGTAATTGTTCGAGGAGGGAAAACAATCGTGGTGGCTTTCTAGCTTTCAGCTGGAGCTCTCTCTACCTTCGTTTCTTTCCTTTTCGTTTACAATTTCTCGAGAGGTAAGTGCAAAGAACTATTACAAACACCGCCAACGCAAACAGAGTTCGTTTCACCCCCTGTTTTTCCTCGCGGACGTTTGTTTCTTCGGCAATTTGCGTTCAATTAGCAGGCTGGCGCGGGAAAAGGCAAATATCGGAGATGTTGTTTCACGTCTTGTGCAAATTGATCGGGTTCAAATCTGACGAGGCGCTACGAACATCGTAATTACGTTCTGCAGTGATTGCCTGACTCCAATTTCGGGGGTTTCTACATCGCGACATGTTTAATCTGCTTCCAGCAATTTCGACTCTCTATTATGCACCAGATGTTCATTATACAAGGGAGGATTCTTGTGTTCCGAGCCTTTATGGTAGCGCATGGTCTTACGATACGTTGTATTACCAAGTATTATAGTTAAAGCTGAAGTGTACCAAAGGAATGCACAAGAAGAAGCAGCGGAACGAATATAATCCTCTTCCAAGAGCAAAACTGAGTTCTTCAAGATTTATAATTCACAAAGTAAGCATGTCCGGAGAATAGCTATGGAAGGATGTTCCAGAGTACATTTTTGCTGGAGATTAGGTAGAAGAAAAATGGTAACCCAGATTTACATCTGCTTGATTTTAAGCTGTGGTTAGAGTAAGAGTGCTTCAGACTTCTTGTAGAAAATTGGATAATCTGACAAATGCCTTAATAAAGATAGCGTTGGAAGTAATGTTGGGAGAACGGTTGGACGAATTAGTCCCTTCTTTTTCAGTACGCAAGAAAATTCTCTCCTTGTGATTTTAACTTTGATTATTCAATTTTAAACTGAAAGCTTAATTCGAAATCTCATCTCGATAAAATTCGTCCATTCACGTTTTAATAATTTTACTGACAATGAAAAGAAACGCTAATATATTGGCGTGAGGGCTGCTTTTTAGGTTCCGGATGAATCGGTGAATGTTCATATTAGGTTTAACTATAATATATTTCTCTAACTATTAACAATTGTACTATTCTGTATTTTTGATGTGTTCGCGGTGTGTTTGACGATGAGTTCCTTTGGAGTGCCTGTGTTCGCTATTTTATTAACTAGGTGTGTGTTGTGATTGGTTGTGCGAAGCTGTCGCAGGTGATGGAAGTGTGTGGTGATGCTTGAAGGATGTCTGTCTGTCTGATGGCGTGGAAGTGGGGAAATTGTTGTTAGATTTGTTATATTGCTAGGATTCTGTGTTCGCTATTTTATTAACTAGGTGTGTGTTGTGATTGGTGGTGCGAAGCTGTCGCAGGTGATGGAAGTGTGTGGTGATGCTTGAAGGATGTCTGTCTGTCTGTCTGTCTGTCTGATGGCGTGGAAGTGGGGAAATTGTTGTTAGATTTGTTATATTGCTAGGATTACTGGTGTCGAGGGTCTGTTATATTGTCTCGGCGCATGTGGTGCCGAGGTGTGCGAGTCTTCGCGACTTTTAGAGTAATAAAGTAATTCATGGGTCATGCCGGCTAAGACTGCTTTGTTCAAGTACCGTTTCCTTCGTCGGTACGACCGAACATATATAAAAATATAATAATTAACACTTAATACTACTATCTATCGCTAAAATTAAAATTGCTTCCAAACACAGTGGTATATTATTAATTGTTTAATGCTGCCTGTAAAGGGTTGAAAAATTCTATTTTACTCTACTTCATCCACCCAATTGTGTCTCTGACTGTAATTGCAGCAGAATGGTTACTACTTGCGGGTGGGATAATTATACGGAACATAATCCTGTAGAACGCAGAACGCGACAAGAATTTCCCGAATGCACAAGGAATGCGAAATTTGTTTCGCACGGATTAACTTACTACGAACGACTTGTCAGAACGTAGACTATCTGGCAAGCATTCAAAACGCGGGGTCAGCCTCGGGTCATATCGAAATTGGAGTTCGGCCAGGGTCAGGCCACGATTGGGCGTGCACACTTGGCAGAACGTGGTTTCAGGAGAATAAAGGGAACGCAACCCACCAACAAGTATACCGTTTGTCGTGACATCGACAGGAAACGACTGGGAAATAAAAACGGTTCGTGACGAAAAAGGGGAATTCACCAGTAGCGAAAATTTACACGTCTTTCTGTGCCACCAATTCTTCCCCGGAAAATATTCCAGTTGATATTCGAATCGTTGAGAAATAGAAATAGGGAATTTAACGTTTTGAGTGAACTTTTTATTTCTTTTTTATATTGTTCTTTTTTAATACGCGTTTATTATTGGCGTTGTGCTTGCTGTTTACGTTTTTGTAAAACTTCATTGAAATGTGCGTTGAAAGATGAGAAATGCGGTGTAGAAGCTTTGACCTACTAACATAATTATTAGACAATTTCTTTACAAAATAATTTTCTACCATACACCATGATAATTCATTATTTATATAATTATTATTTTATTACTGAGGTGATTCATATTGAAAGTAACCATACTGGAAACGCTAAAAATGTAAAATTAGGCAATGACAAATTTTGAAGATGGTTTTCTCAAAAAATTTTATCAGTAAGTTTCCCTCTTCCATTTTCAACACCTCGTTTCACGTGAAACAAAAGAGTCGACACTTCTATTTCCGCGGAACAGTGTTCTAGAAAAATTTTAAAGTCGGATATCTCAAAACATTTTATCACTCAATTTGCCTCTTCCATTCTCAACGCCTCAATTTCACTAAGAATCGACACTTTTATTTCCCTGAAACGGTGCTCCAGAAATGATACCGCAGTGCATATCTCCTTGATGCGCCATCGGTTCAAACGCAATCGTAAAACGACTGGTTGAAATGCAGTTAAGGAAACCGGCACATAATTCCAAGTTATGGTAGACAGTTATTGTACGCCTGATCTTCAGGTCATGCCTTAAAGTATCGAAATATCGATGGAACAACTCTCAGCTTTACTTTTTTTCACGTGAAATAATTTTGTATTTATCAATACATACTAAGTGATCAGATAAGAGGAACGTGCAAGTCGCAATTACTATAACAACGTCGATCGAAATAAAGATACTTCTGCAACATTTCTCACTGAACTTTGCAGAGCAACGATGTAAAATAGTTGGATATAGATCGGCTGTAAATTATGCAAAATACGATACAAGGTAGCTTACGCGGCGAATGAATAATAAGACAACGTTACGAACAACGAAAAATGGGAGTAATCCTTCAATTCGCAGAAACGTATAGTCGGTGGAAGCGATACACCGAGGTCGTAAAATCGGTGAAACATCGAAACGCGCGTAATCCGAGCTCTGAAACAGCATTTCAAGGGAGATAACGAGCTTCGAGCCTCGTTCAAGGCTGAATTGCATTTCCCATTGCAGCTATATTTAATAAATTTGCCCCGCACTTTAAATCCCCAACAGCTGTGGCTTAATTTCTTCGCTGATACGCTAATTACCATGGAACAATAGGCGACGAAAGCGGAATACCGTGAAGCTTGAATAGAATCGTATGGAAACAGAATTCGTATAGAATTGAATAGTATCGCTTTCACCGACTATACAAATTTCCAGCAAAGAAATGATCCAAGGACACGTCTCCGAACGGTCTCATCTTCAATTTATAACCAACTTAGCATTCAATTGCTCCGCAGCAGTTTGTCAGAAAACACTTGCTCTGGCCTAATTCGAAAGCTCCGTCTCGATAAAATTCCTCTGTTCACGTCTGGACGATTTTATCGTCGAAGAAACACGTTAATATCCTTAGCGAGAATATTTCACCAACGTCGATGGGTTCTGTCCACGGTATAAGAATAATGGATTAACGTGCTTTTTAAACGAAGGAAAATTCTCGACTTTTATTGTACGCTCGATAGAAAAACGAGGATGAAACGAATCGAACGGAGAGTGCAAAGTTTGCCTAAACGACAGGCCATAGATCAACCTTAATCTTACGCGTCGACGGTAGCTTCCTTCAGATAATGGTGTCGATCGTAATCCAGCCTTCAAAGTAACTCCACGCCATTTCAATTTCCGTCTGGTCCATCGTCCCGAAAAGAACTTTGTCCAGCATTCAGCTTTCACAATATACAGGGTGTCTAAATTCACTAGCCTCCTCAAAAGAGGCGATTAATAATGCAAATTCGCGAATATGCATTTAGCGACACGTATGTGGAATTATTTATACATTATACAGTAAATTCTCTACAAGAGTCAGTAAGTTTGGATTCTACAAGTGACAGTATAGATAGGCTTACGCCTAGGTCTGTGTCATTGCTGCGCCCATGTTCCATCTCCTTTACGAGATTTCACAGCTCGACAAATCATAATAGAAAAATATAATTTCTTTAATTTTACTTTTTTTCATCTGGAATTTTTTTTTAACATGTCGGTGAGATTTTTCTGATGAAAATGATATCAAACACGATATAATTTGAACAACATTTACTTATTAACACGTTCACTGTCGCGCCAGATTTACAGGTTGCTGTTAAGCAGCCACAAGAAAATACATTTTAAGCATAGGATTATAGTCTTATGCTTTATAATTTTTTTTTTTTTCAATTTCAAATAATGACGTTCAAAATTTTTAGTTGACAACATTTATTTTATTTTAATTATTCTAAACATTTGAAGCACTCCAGTCACTGATGACCACCATGGCCATATCGAAGAAACAATCTAACGTTAATACTTATTGAGTGATTAATTTAATTTCATAATATATCGCTTTAGCGAGCCACCGTTTGGTTGCCAATTGTTTATCACATAGAGTCAGCCTACCTCCACGTAAAAACAAAAAATGTAGGGTCGATTCCACAAGTGTCAGTAAAATGTAGGGTCGATAGCAGCAGAAAAGCTGCTAAACAATTAGAATTAAATGTAACGATAGAAATTATTGCAATAATGCGTAATGCAATTGAAAAATTGAAAG